GAAAGAGTGAGGTAATAGTGGAGGAATTAGATCTTGTGTGGCAGAACGTATAATATATTAATAGTATTGAATGCATCTAATGATAAATAAAAGTGGTGCACCATATACTATTTGGTAAACTAGTCCATCCTTGCTTTTATCTCTAGAAAAAAGGTCATTTGATAAAAGTAAAACTTCAAGGAAAAACAAAGAAAAAGAAGTAACCTTATTAAAGTCACTAATAACAATTAGCTGAAACTATTAAGGATATGTTTGTATTGTTACATAATTAAAAATTAACACATACTTTAACTTTTTTACATCGAAAAGTATAAAAAGTTCATTCAACATGTGTTGATAAGTTTTCCAAATACTAATTCATTATCATCTTGCTATGTTTTTTGTTCAGGACCTTAACTTCCCTGCCATGTTGAGAAATTACAGGGCTCCATGTTTTAATTTAGAAAGTCTAATGTTATTATGTAGCAAAATCCAACTCAAATTGCTTGAAAATTAGATGATTATTATTTTTTATTTAATAAGGAGGTATAACTTTTTTTCACTGAATCAAGCTTTATAAAAATAAAACAATACTTTTAATCGTAACTTCATATTTAAAACAAAAATCAAACCTTAGTCTTTGATTAAGAAATACAAATGTCGAACAATTTGAATTAACAATATTTAGTATATAGAGTGTTAAAATAGAATGACACCAATTCCTTCCATTTCTGACAATTTCACTTTATTATCAGTAATAATCGCTGTCCTCGACCTTGTATTTTAGAGATCTACGATTCACACTTACAAACAATCCTTTGTGATACAAGGAACAAAACCACGGCTGTTAAATTCTGCAGCCTAAATAAAAACGCTTAGCAATAGCTATATACATATCAATCTGCAGCTAAGAGCCCGAAAGGACCTTGTACAAGGTACTTTGTAGGGATGACACGGAATCAATAGCAGATTTTGTAAGCCAGCTAATCCCCACTTTAAGCCTATGTTCATCCGTTGGTAACCTGATCAAATAAGCTATCTTCCTCGCTGCAAAAATAGAAAAGCTCAAACTTGTTTTTCTTCTTTATTTTGTTTTTTAAGTAATTAACATAATGAAGAATGGCGCATGGGGCCAACTTACCAGTATGACCAATAGAACCTTCTAAGACCAGACCATCAACAAAACTCGGAGAAATGACACCATCATTTCTTCCCAGGGTCATCATCTCACCTAGATTCTGAAACCTGGCACCCCCATTAGGAACAAATATAGCGTTAGAAGCGTGTATGTAGATTACAGAATAATTAAACAAACTAAATGCAATAAAACCTAAATGGCAAAAGTGGACGCCCGTTGATTGCAGCCCACAGATTCCAACCAGTGAAATCTGCTTGCTGAAATGCAACCTGCAAGTACAAGGTAAAAGAAAACAATCAGAAAATAAAGATGATCACATCGTCAAAATTTATATACATGCCGTAGTAAAACATCCCATGGAACATCAAGCACCAGTTACACCTGTGCAGTGGCTGGAAGGACCCTTCCATTTGAATCCCTTAATGCAGAAGAGTCGCCAAGGGCAAATATCCGAGGGTGACCCTTAACACGAAGAGTTTCATCTGTTTCAGCTTGTCCTCGGGCATTAAGTGGAATTACAAATGGTACATCTGAAGGTTCCAGCTGAGGAAGAGGAGGTTTGGTTCCAACAGTCCACAACACCAGATCTGCTTCAATGACTTTGCTTTGCATTCCCCTTTCAGCAGGTTGTAGCTCCAGTATATATTTCTCAAAATCAGGCACAGTTTCAATAGTATTTTCATCTACCCCTGTCAGCGTATCTGCATACTCCAATTCACTAAGCCTCCGAATACAGCGGACAAAATAACCCAATAAAAGTTCAACTTTCCTTGATGAAAGAACCTAACATCCACAGCACAATGTTTTCTTTTAGAAATCTTAAGCATTACTTGCAATAACATTGCTAATGGACCTAGGCTAGAGGAATACAATTGAATAGCATGATAAAACTAAAGCAACCAGAGTTGCGGAAACAGGTTAGTTGCATGCTGGAGAAGCTTCAACATCGAATGCAGGACTTCAAGTAGATGGTTTGAGAAACATTCAGTTTTTTAATATCATCGTGTGGCACCCATGTAGTATTAAATTATGGCTATTGGCTAATTCTTATTTGGTTTCAAGAAATCTATTTAAAATGGGTGTAAACTATAGAATAGGAGTGAAGTTACATGAAAGGAAATTTTATAATTTCAAACTGCTAAGAATTTCTGCAGAATATTTCAGGCAAACAATCATATTACTATGTAGCTTTCTGTATGTATTTGAGAAAATTCAAATAAGACTATAATTTAAAATTTGTAATAGAATACTTATAGCATAAAAAAATTAAGTGAAAATTTAAAATTTATAAAGATTTTCACCTACAAAATTCAAAAGAAAAAAATTATAGAGACCTAACCAAATAAAATAGAGCCCTAACCAAATGATTAATCAAACAAATTATCAAGTTCATATAAAAGGACTAAAGTACTAAACATCTTTACATAAGCATCATGAATCATACGAAGATATTAGTTTCAATCTTAGCTGTCTATGTCCAACTAAACATGGAAGCAACACCTAATTTAAGAAGGAACATCTTGCCTTATGCCCTTATATAGTCAGGGTCACATTTAAGCAAGGATCATCAGATCATCTTGCCTCCATATATAATTGGTTTACATTCTTCAACACAAACAACAAATGATCACATTTTAATTAGTGTATATATACCAAGTTACTAGACAATTTAAAGTATAGTTAACATCTTCAATATAAAGCTCTAAATATCCAGCTTCACTCCGTTAACTTTTATTAACATGAAATAAGGAAAGATAATTACTTGAAGAAAGCAGTGTATCTCACTGTCTTTCCATAGAAGAAAATACAAAGTCAACATCCTAGTGGACTGTCACCTAATTGCATATGATTTTCTGAGTTGTACACGACAGACCCTAAACTTTACGAAAATTTTTAACTAAGTCTCCTAACTGAAAAGGAAAATAGTAATTGGGTCTTTGATCTTGTAATCGGGTCCCTAGAGTTTAAAACTGCTATAAATTATCATTTTTTAGCCATTTTGAGATGCCAAAAACTAACTTTAGGGATCTACTTTTTAGTTTAGGGAACCAATTACAATTTTTAATTTAGGGACCTAATTAAAAATCCCTAAATAGTTTAGGGATCTACAAATTAATTTAACGAATATAAAATTTAAACATCTTACTTTTAGTGCAGCTTCCCTGTTGCCAGGTGGGGCATTTGGGCAAATCATTGTTTCGACATTAATTGCTCTCACAATTCCTCTATTTTGTAATCGCTCTGCTAGTGTTGCAGCCAATTCAACTCCAGAGTAACCACAACCAACAACAGCCACACTAATTTGGATGTCCTTGCCAAAGTTCTTTCTCTCTAATGTTGTTAATTTAGCATTGACTTTCTGCAACAAGAAACCAGCATCTAAAATCAAGAATTGCAAATTCATGTTAGTCTTGAGATATTAAATAATCAATCCACTCTATCATGCACTCACACGTGCATCCTCTAATGTTGAGAAAGGAATTGCAAATTCAGCTGCCCCTGGCACAACATCCAGTTTAGCTTCAGCTCCCAATGCAAGAACCAGCCTGGCTGTCCAGTGTGAAGAAATGAAAAACTCAAATCAACAGAATGATGCAACTCTATTTGGCATCACACTATGAATGCATTTCTATTCCATTAAACAATAAAAAATTCATTTTTGTTTTGAAGATGATTTAGGTACACAAAGGAACATTTCAGCAAACTACATCAAAGTGATCCTGCCCAAACATCCTAATCAACATCGAGAAGCATAAAACTTGAGCATGATCACAAGAAAATATCAGAAAATTACACATGTAATAGGCAACCCATTGATTTCAAATTGAAGAAACCAGGTCAATATGCGGAACACAAATCCAGAGAAAAATATATCATCTTAAGCAGTGTATAAAACAGAATTGCTGTTGGGAAACAGTGAGGCACTTAAAAGTGCAGATTGTACCAGTCATATTCTATAAGAAGGCCACTTTCAAGATGAACAGTTCCTCCGTGAGTAGATTTGGATCCATTCATTCCCCAGTGATCAGAGGGAAGCAAAAGTTTTACTCTGTCTTTGAAAAACTGCACACTGGTGTTTGCCAGCAAATCTGAGAAACGAGGAGCTATTTCCCATTCGTCCACTTCTGCATGTCAGTGTAACTGTCGAATCATTTGTAATAAAGAAGAAAACTGCAATTGTTGCTTAGGTTTAATAATGCATACCTCCAGATAGAAGCTCATACAACATTGGCTTGAAAACAAAACGTTCAGACTGATCAACAAGAACAATCTGCTCCATATTCAATAAAGAATTTATTTTATTAAAGCATCTACAAGTAAACAAGAAGGGTACAGAAAAGCCTAACAATTAAATCACCAGGCATGAATACAAGACATCATAATCATAGTTATAAGAGAAGAAAATAATTTCTGATCATACAGTCATTTGAAAATGTCAAAAGATACTGCTTTGATTTTTTTCCCTTTTGTTCCATTGGTAAATGTACAGAGACAGAGTTTCATTCAAAAAGAGGATCCTAAGTTCCTTCTATAGTGGCTTTTGTACCAACTGTCATACAACTGAACAAATTGAATAGGAGAATTAACCTAAGCTAAAGAATGTAAATGCAAGCACCAGAACTTAGCAGCTTTAGGTTAAGGAAGACTATAACTGAACATAGGGGAGGTAGCTTTAGTTTGAGAATAGGAGAATAAATGTTATTTATTAAGTCAAAATAACAGTAGGCTAAAGTGGACATATCTTTTAGCGCTGTCATTGGTTAATGAAGTTTAGATTCTTTAGAAGCATGTTGGAATTTTAAAATGATTATGACAGCGAGACTGAACAAGCAAGGTAATTATACAGGTTAGAGTATTCCCCCCCCCCCCCCCCCGCAAAAATCCGCTGTTTAATATTTGTAAATATTGAAAGGCAGATGGAAAAACTTTACAGGTTAGTATATCCCCTCTTCCATTCCATCCCCCATCGGTTGTTTATGGTATAACTGTAGTGAGTGATTAGAAGATGTCAAACAGAAAAATGTAAGCAAAAACTGAGGGAACATAGGTGGATGACTAGACAATTGTCACAGGTAGGACTGCATGCTGACATGAATCAATGTAGACAATTTTGATAAGGTTGGGTTCATAAATAACATGAAAACATGAATATCTCCCTTACATGGATGCAATAATGCTGAGAATTGGACAGGGTATCAAAATGCTAAAAATGAGACAAGGAAAGCTATGAGTGAGACACATTCCATTTCCACTTTTTCTATTACCATTTGAATTTTAAAAAATGTTCCCAAAAATACTAAATTCTAACCACATGTTTTTTGAATTTAACCAGGAATTACTATTCGTAAGAATGTAATAATACCTTCAAACAAAGGCTTATAAGTAGAATACGGGGTTAATATTCATCACAGCAAACCTTAATTTTATTAAGTATTTAAGTCATATTCCTTGACATGTAAGCACATCAAGACTAACTACATTTACATTGATTGTAGTTTAATATTGTAACCCGAAAAGGCTCCATCCATTCAAATGTGGATACTGCATTTTGTTTGCACATTATGTTAATTCTCATACGAAGGATCAAGCAATATCTTCAACAAATGACTTGAATAGGAAACGAATATGCAAAAGGTGAATAAAAAGAATAAAAAAAAAAAAGTGGTAACATGCATTTTTCTATGCATTCCATTAAACAAATACAGACACCGACAAATTGACAATATGACCACAAGCAGTCACAAAATGTTTTAATGCCAATTAAACCAAGAGACATTAGCAATCTTAGAAACCCGAACGACACGACGTGGAACTTCACAAGAGAGAGTGATTTTGAATGACAAACCTGTGGTTTTTTATCGTCTGGCCATTCCAACGATTCCAACCTCAAAGCAGTGTATAAGCCACCAAATCCACCTCCTAGTATGCACACTCTAGGTTTCTGCAGGCAGATAATTCTTTTATCTGTTTAATTCAATCATAAACACAAGTTCCCAGGCCAATCACACATGCAAACAAATACGATATACAAAAAAAAATATTAAAAAAAATAACGCTTCATAACCTTGTAATCGGGCCACGCGAAATTCGTAGGCTCTTTTTCGGCCTCAGATATTTCCTCCGCAACACCTCCACTGCCGCCAGTTTCCGCCGAAGCGGAAAACCGCAATTGCAACCGTTTCCTGAGAGAACTTGCGAACAAAGACGAAGCGGTTCCCGTAGTTCTCCGGAAACTGGGAAATAGCGCGCTCCATTGCTTCGCTCCGCCTGAAACCGCAAAGAGAATGTCGAAGTAATATAGTATCAAATTGATAATGATTATTAAGAGTATGCAGAAATAAATAAATAAATAGTATTCCCTCACTTTTGTCAGATTCCAAATATGATAAGTGGTAGAGGAAGAAGAAGAGAACATACGGTGAAAAGCGATGACGGAGGGAGAGGCTAAAGCAATGTGCGACATTGTAATCTGAGAAGCGAAAAGCAGATAGAAGGAAATTCAAATGGAGTCAGTGAAATTGAGTTGGGGTCATGGCCAAAGAAGGAAGAAGGAGAAAGAGCGCGTCGGAAACAAACAAAAGAGAGAAGAAGTTAGGCAAGCGTTAGTTGCGAGCTTTGCGGCTGTTCTGCTTCCACGCTTTTCTGTACTTCCTCTCATCATCTCTTCAGACAAGTCCATTTATATCAATGAAAATTAAAAAAGGGGGTGAATTTTATTTTTTTTCATATATGTGCACAACTAGAGGCTAATTTTCACTTTCACTGACTAGGTAGTAGTATTATTTATTTAAACACAGCAAATAAAGAGTCGTGTCCAGTTTCTGTCGTATATTCATCTTTCTTTCCGGGCTAAAATAGTATTTTAGTCCCTTATACTAATAATTATTTGTTTTAATTTAGTCTTATTTTTATTTTTTTGTCTCAGTTTGGTCCTTAATAAATTAATTAGTTGTAATGTTGGACTTCCGTCTAAATTATTTAAACAGAGTTAACTATTGGCCACGTGTAGATGCACAGGTGGATGTCACGTAGATGTCCATTTTTTTTAAAACACCTAGAACGAGAATGGTCCGTTCTTGGTGCACTTTTAGTGTGTTAATTTTGCATCCGGAATGGCCTGTTCCAGGTGCAAAATTAACACACTAGGAGTGCAACCAGAACGGGCTGCTCTGGTTTCAGAACGGGCCGTTCTGGTTCTAGGTGTTTTAAATAATTTTGAAGATTCTCATGTGAAACCTTTTTACCCAAATTGAAAAAAAAAATATTATTAAGTTTTCATTATTACAATATATGTGTTGGGGTAGTAAGGGTGTCACAAAAAGACCCAAGGTACAAAGCATTTCAAACACTGAATTTGGTAATATTGTCAATGGAAATTGATAATTTAAATTGTTAAATAGTTGGGCTATACAGTGTATCATTAAGGACAATGCAGTGTATCACTAAAGACAATGGTAACAGATTTTATTTCATTGTTAGTCAAACTGGAGTGAACCACTTACTACCAAATTGACACTATACAGTAAAGGATGAAACGACATGATATTTTTTCTTGAAGTCAATAACGATGTACCCCAACAACAACAACTTGTTCTTGAAGAGGTAGAACCTGAAGTAAAGGAAGAAGATACACAGGACTAACATTTCACCACACAACCACATGTAGGGACGGATCTAAGTTAATCATAGTGGGGGCACTTGCCCCTACTAAAATTATTTTCATTCTTTTTTATATATAAAATATTATTAATTTTATAAAATATATATTATTAATTATATTTTAATTATCTTGTTATATCTAATATAATAAATAAATTAATATATTTTTTATATATTTTTGTTCTTACCGGAAATCTGCTGTAGAGCTGATCCGTCGGGTAAGATCGGTGAGCCTCCTTTGC